AAAACACCACTTAATTGTAATTTCTCTAAAAAAATAAAACAAATGCTAACAAGTACCCTTTGTTTAATATTAGAATTAATATAAAAAGTGTTTTGAAGATAGTGAAAAAATGTATTGAGCAGTGTTATCAGAGGCGCGCCTAAGCGCTAAGCGAAGCGAAGCGAGGCGAGACTGTAACGCTTCATGCACAGTGAGGCGAGGCGAAATGGTGAGGCAAAGGAGAAACGCATGAAGCGAAGCTTAGGCGATGAATCGAGAGGCGAAACGAAGTGATGCTTCACCAGATTTTTGCCTGATTTCATTTCGAATCATCTGGGTCCTTAATTTGGATGACTTTTGTGCAATTTAAGGACATGCGTTGCACTTTATAATTACTTTCTACTAAATAAGAAGTCGAAACCCTAAGTCGACTTCATTCCAGTCAACATTGAAAAGGCATACTCGAAGTCAACTTCACCTGGGTCTTCTTCTTCCTTCTTCGGACGACCAGTCAACTAACAGAGGTAAGTTCTTGCTCTTCTTCTTCCTTTCTTCTTCTTCTTCTTCTTCCTTTCTCCTTTCTTCCCTTCGTCCTCTTCTTCTGCTGCTGATTCATCTTCTTTCCTTCTTCTTCCTTTCTTCAACACTGTCCTTCTTCCTTTCTTTATTTTTTTCTTCGTCTTCAAGAACACTGTTGCCCCCCTTTTTTCCTGGTTATTTTAATTTGTTTAATTATTTTTTTGTGTTATTTTTTTTCCATCAGAATTTTTTTTCAATTAATTTGTTTAATTATTTTTCTGTGTTATTTTACATTTATTTTGCTATGTTAATTGTATAATTATTTTGGTGAAATTTTAATTATTTTGGTGAAAAAATATCAATTAATTTTGCTGAAAAATTTCAATTATTTTGCTGAAATTTTAATTATTTTGCTGAAAAATTTCAATTAATTTTGCTAATTTTTTTTAATTATTTTGCTGAAAAAATTTCAAGTAATTTTGCTGAAAATTTTCAATTATTTTGCTGAAAAAATAACTGAATGATGGTTCTTGAAAATATTTATATTTTTGTCTGTACCATTTATTTTAAAAAAATATCATTTCTGGTCGTCTCAATTCGATGAAGCTCTCGCCTCGTCTTATCGCCTCGCCCTTAGGCATTAGGAGATCTTGTCGCCTTGGTTCGCTTTTTGCCTTAAAAAACACTGGTATTGAGTGAAAAGTATTATAAAACTATTGAAAAGTGTATTTTTTTGTTTTTTTGTTTGTTTGGTACATCAGAAAGGGAAAAAAGAAACAACAGAGCAAGAAAAACAAAAGCAAAGAAACAACAACAAACAAACAGATAGGAAGCCAGGGATGTGAACATAGACTTAGAGCCTCTTGTATGCCACTCCCACCATATCAACAAGGATTTGGCTTCGCACTTCAACAGGTGGTTCCTCCACAACCATCAGCAACTCAGATTGATCAGCTCCCATTTTTGCAAGCTTGTCTGCACATTGATTGGTTTCTCGCATTATGTGTTGAATGGTGCTGCTACAACACTGTATCAGGTGATGTGAGTCCTCTACAATGCTATGGTACGGGCAATTAGGAGGAAGGCCTTTAGTAAGCAGCTCTTCAGCCATAGTGAAATTAGTTTCGATGATAACTTCTCAAAGCCCTTTCTCCAAAACAATTGTAAAACCACGGTAAATGCCCCAAATTTCAACTTCGAGGCTAAAATAGTTCTCAAGCTTCCCAAAGAAACCATACAGCTAGGTTCCCACTTCATCGCGGAAGGCTCCGCTGAAACCTCCTTCTCTTGGATCGCCACGTGCACACCCATCTGTATTGAGTTTAATTTTACCTGAAGAAGGATAAGACCAATGAGTAAGCAAAGGTGGATGTGTGTGTGAAGTAAAATTCATGAGAAAAGCTTAATGTATCTCGGTAGCATAGATATGTATAAGGTGTAAAGTGTTTTGTAAAGTGGGATCCATATATTCAAAAACTTTTTTTGTTCCTATCTTTCCAAATTTGCCAAAGAGAGGTAGCAAACATACAGTTTCAATAAGGATCAGTGCATTGCTGGGCTTTCAAATTCTTTTTAAGCCAAGAGTTGAGACTCAACTGACTATCTAAGGATAGCCAATGAGTTCTAGCCACACTGCTCCAAACAGTGTTGGATATCATATAGCTACAAAAAAGATGTTCAATGTCTTCAGTGTGGAACCCACACCTAGGACATTTAGCAATATCAGTCAACCCTCTTTTCAGTCTCATATCATTGGGGAGAAGCCTTATAATAAAAATCAGTCACAAAAAACTTTTAAGTTTTTGTGGAAGTTTTAACTTCCGCACCCACTCAAGATCTATACTTCCATCCACTTGATTAGAAACAATATTATATGCAGTAACAGTAGAGAAACCTCCCCTGATGGATCCCCTCCAATGAGGAGTATCAGAGAAGGTAACAAAATGCGACAGATTAACTTTGAGCACACAGTCAAGGGCCACTGAGAATTTTTGAGATTAAGACATTCATTTCCTAAGTACCCTCTTCATCCAGCAATGTATTGGATTCTACACTTATTTAGTCTTTTTCTTGTACCTTAAAATACTTGTTAACAAGACCCTTATAAAATATTTTTACATATTTGAATATATTTTTTATACATTTTTAAACACACAACAGTCCTAAAATTGTTTCTAATATATATATATATATATTTTTGGAGATTGACCAATAAATCCTATGTTTTGGACTTATAATCTATATAGTCCCATATTTTTTCTTGTGATTCATTTAGTCATTATGGATGTATAATGACTCATTTACCCGCCACATTGGAGTGTCACATTTGAAAAAAGTATACTAAATTTTTTTTTAGTATCACATCATACCCGCCACGTTAGAGTATCACATTTCGAAAAAGTACATAAAGAGTTTTTAATTTTTTTTAGAGTGTGACATTATACTCGCCGCGTTGGAGTATCACATGTTAGGTTTGAAAAAAGTATACTAAAGAGTTTTTAATTTTTTTTAGAATGTCACATCATACTTATCACATTTGAGAAAAGTATACTAAGGAGTTTTTATTTTTTTGAAGTGTCACCTCATGTCTGCCACATTGGCACGTTTCAAAAAATTACACTAAGGAGTTATTATTATTTTTTGAAGTGTCACTCATACTTGTCGCGTTGTCACATTTGAAAAAAGTAGAGCGTCACATCATATCTGTCACGTTTGAAAAAATATACTGATGAGTTTTTATTTTTTTTGAAGTGTCACATCATACCTATTACGTTGTCACATTTGAAAAAAATACAATAAGAAGTTATTACTTTTTTTGAAGTATCACATCATACAGGTCATGTTGTCACAATTGAAAAAAGTACACTAAGGAGTTATTATTTTTTTTGGAGTAAAAATTTTAAAATGTCACATCATACCCGTCACGTTGTTTCATTTAGAAAAAGTACATTAATGAGTTTTTAATTTTTTTAGAGTGTCACATTGTTAGAGTATCATATTAATACTTGTCACATTGAAATATCACATCATACCTGTCACATTAATAAAAGAACATAATTATATACCAAAATAAAAAATAAGACCACATGAAAAGAAATTATTTATTAATAGAACTTAACAGATTAATAAAAAAAATTTAGAACTAATTAAAATATTTATTTGTGAAACGAGATTCATCGGTAAATATATATATATTTTTCCTACAAAAATGATTTAGACCTCTAAAAGAAGAGCTCTAATAGAGCACTAATTTGTCTTTTTCTACCATCTTTTTTGTCTTTTACTTTAGGAAAATGAGTGGGAGCACTAATTAGTGCTACCACTAATGATGTGGCAGTAGGCTCCACCATGAATGATTTGATGTTTTAACCTTGGTGTTGTATTTTTTTTCTTTTTTTATTGAGTGCCATGTCATTAGTGATCTTTTTAGAGCTTCAAAATTAATGATCTCTATTATTATTGTTTACTTTACTATTTTTTTTATTTATTTATTGATTGACAGCTCATTAGAGCTGTCATTTTCCAACTCTAATTAGAGCTCCGGAGCGATCCCCCATTTTTCCTATTCAAACGGGACCCCCGATAGGGATCTGATCCCCCCACTTCCACCCTTTGTAATCACCACTACCTTTTCAATCTCTCTCTTTCAATTTCTTTTTTATCTCTGATTTTGATAACTTTGCTTTTGGATAGTAATCAAACGAGAATCAAAATTATTCGCCAACGAAAATCAAATAAAAAAATTGTAAGTACGTACAATCAACACCCCTTAACCACTCATCAATACTATCTCTCTCCATCTATATGCATATATATGTTCATGGTGGTTCTCTACTGCTCTGTTCATGGCTTCACTAGTTGAAGATCTGTGCTTTTTTTTTTATTTACGATATTGCCACCGATAGGTCCTTTTTCCAGCTTCCGTTATTGACTTTTTTTGTATCCGCGTTTTCATTGTTGAATTTAAACTCTGATTTTGACTTTTCTAGAAATTAGATAAGATGATATGATAATTGGTGCAGAGTCTTTGAAAGGGTTTACGAAACTTCCTCAATTTCATCAATTTTTAAAGTATTGTTTCAACAAAGTGCTTTAGCAAAGTAATTTGATGGAAAATTACGACTTTCTTTGGAACAGGAATTGATTGTTTGGTTCCAAGAAAAGGTCGAGCCTGTAAAGATTCACTGTTGTTTGGTTTTCAAGAAAATAGATATTAGAGGAAAATTCAATTCTGGGTTTTGTGTTTGAAGAGAAGGAGAGAGAAAGAGGGAGTCTTGAAAAGAGAGACAAAGATGGGGTCTTTCAAGGGGCATGTTCTTCCAGGAACTTTGTTTCTTCTGGTTGGTGTGTGGCACGTTTGGTGCTCGGTGTTTCGGTATGCATCGGATCCTAAATCGTTTCGGGTAAGGGTTTGGAATCCGGTACCGGGTTGTGATGGTTGGCTTAAGTATTTGGAGCTTTATATTATAGCAATTGGTGCTTTCATCGATATGTGCATAGAACTTTTGTATTCTACACACCTCAAGTTCTTTGTCAATGGTGTCTTGAACCCATCTCACATGAACGATTTTGAGCACTCTGGAATGCTTCTAATGTTCTTCATCTTCGGTGTGGTCACTCTGCTCTCAGAAAAAAAAGGGTCAGTCTTTCTGTTCCCGAACATTCTTAATGTTTCTCTATTTTGTTTTACATAATCTGTTTAGTTCTGTGAATAGTATAGGAAATAAAAACAATAGTTTGGGTCCTTGATTTTATTCATCATACTAAAGTTACTAAATATGCACTATGCTTGGACAAATACAACTTTGGGTTGCTTGAGTTGAGATTTTCACATTTGGGAAGCTAAAACAGTGGAAACTACACAGGTTATAGAAATTGATGTTTTATGTCATTTTCTCACCCTTTATTAGCAACGGAACTAGAGGGAAAATTGTTTAGGCATAAATTATATGGATGGAGATGTAAGATTTTAAAGTCATGTTGGAAAATATAGGATGCTGAAATTCCAATGACTGCCCTCAAAATTGCCAACAATATCATTACAAAAAATTTGATTTGCATTTCTTTCATGCTGTAAAGGGGACAACCAACGAGAATGATTAGAGAATGGTAGGGTCCGATGCATGCCATTTTGCCATTTTATATTGGAAGTTGCGTATTTTGAATCCATTAGTTCCTCTCTCTCTCTCCTCTGTGTGTGCATACTTTTGCATTGTTTACAGGATTTTTTGCTTACTTTTAGCTTGTCCAATGGGGTTTTTGGGTAACCTCACAACTATATCAGAGATTCAGAATATCTGATGGAATGCAATTTAGCACTTAATTTTTCCATAAAGGTCGTATTTGTTAAAAAGAAATGGTGCCTTAAATTTCCTCTAGATGCATCTATTTATGTTATAATTGCTTTGGAGAATAGAGGGCAAGACATTGTGTGATGGCAAGTGTTATAGGAACTTAGCCCAATATATATCAAGCTATCCAACAATCTGCCCCCAACATTGTGGTGTGGGTTTGAGTCACTAGAATAAGCCTCTTCAAAAAAAGAAAAGAAAAGAAAGGGGTAAGATTGTCTACCTATTACTTCCCAGACCATACTGTTAAGTAGTAGCCTTGTGTATTTAGTACAATCTTTATTGAAATCAGATCAATATTTGCTTTTATAAGACGATAGTGATACCTTATTAGAAATTTACGAAACCTGTTTCTTAGGAATATCAAAGTGAAAAGCATCTCCTAGTAATTATGAAGGGTACAATTGTTCTTGTAATATTTTCAGATCGATATCCTTTCTAATTTACCAAGTCTGAACTGTACACTCATGTTTTACCTCATGGGAATCAAATAATTCCACCTCCCACATTTGGCTAAATTATTGTATGAAATGTGTGCAAAAACTTATAATTACTTGTCCAGTTTGAATGCGAATCAATTGATAGAAGGTTCATATCTGAGAAAATTTTAGAAAACCCGACAAGATGTTTCTCTTATGCCCCTATTGAAAATGATAGAGTGCTTAGTCTAGTTCAGGAGATTCCATTCTTTCTTTCTTTCTAGTTCGATACTAGCTGCTTCCTTTAAGGAATGGGACTACCTTACTCCATCCAGTCCCCACAAAACCAACCATTGTATATAGCAAATACATATGGCTTTGTAATGAAAGCCAAACAAATTTCTGTACCTTTTCAGGTTATATAAAAGTAAAATAATTATTGTTTTCCTTTTTGTAATTTTAAGGATTAGAGGGCAATGGGCATAAGGCCATTCATTATATCTAATTAAATATTTGATAAATCTTCTTAAACTTTGCTTGTACACATCCGTATTATATAGTGCTTTCATTTCTGTCGCTAGTTAAAGAGTTCACCCACCATTATGTTAGAGCCCTTTTCTCGCGATATGATTTATGACAACCCATTTTTGATAACTAGATTTTGATTTCAAAATAAAGACTAACACATTTTCATTATTCAGCATTCTTCCCTTGCCAGAAGGAGCTCTGTGCTTGATCGCTGCCACAGCATTCTGCGCAGAGTATCTCCTGTTCTACTTTCACTCAACAAGTCACCAAGGCCTTGAGGGATACTATCACCTTCTTCTCGTCCTACTAATAGGCTTCTGCATTTTAGCGACTGTTACCGGAGCTTTCTTACCGACCAGCTTCCCTGTTGATTTGTGTAGTGGCATTGCAATAACACTCCAAGGCCTCTGGTTCTATCAGACTGCATTCACTCTCTATGGCCCCATGATGCCTGATGGTTGTCAACTTAAGGAAAATGCAATCTCATGCCATTCAACGGACTACCAGGTCCGAGGCGAGTTGCTTGCTAACTTCCAGCTGTTTGCCATGGTGTTTAGTGTCCTTGTTGCAGTTGTTCTATCATATATTTTTGCGGCTTCAAGATACGGGAATTCTGATCTTAAGAGCTTGCAAACTGATGAGGATTGGTTTGATCGCAGTAAAGTAGGTTCTGCGTCTTTACTTAATAATTTATTCCTTTAGTCATATATATATATATATTTATAAATATTTACCTTTTCTTTTTGCCCCTTTCATTTGTCTTCATTTCTTTTCCTAGTGGATTGTGGGGTCTCCCTTAGAAGCCATTCACATGGGCAATCGTTCAATGTTGCTCACAATTTGAAAATATGTGGCATCTTATGTTACACAATTAATTGTGATCGCAGTCTTGAAGTTAGTTTCATAGAATATTTTTTTTTTCCGTTATATTACAGTGTCACTTGTAAACATTACTCAATTTGATTTCCCAAAATAGTCATTTCATGGGATCCAAACTGCAATATATACATGTAATAGAGGTAATTCCTTTAAAATGCCATGTATATAGAAGGCTTCAGTTAATATTCCCTTGGGGTCTTTTCTTGAATAAAATTGGATTTTTACTCAATAACACAACTTACCTATTTATGGGATACGTGAAATTATACCAAATTTCTATGTTGATTTATGTTCTTGACTTCATAACCAAAAATCCCTTAGTGCTCTAGCAGCAACCTTTTCTAATGATCAAGGAATTTTTGAAAGAATCATATCCAAAATGCGTAGATTGACAAGAATCTGTGAAATGAAAGTTCTCTTCAGTGGTTATAAATTGACAACTACTACTGTATTAGTGGTTTTTGTTTTCATTAGAAGAAGATAATAGGCTTGACATTTGCATTCTTTGATGAGTAACAAAAGACCTTTTTGTTTTTGATAAATAAATGTAAGACATATGGATCGCCCAAGTAGAAAAACTGATGAGCTTCACTTACAATTCTGAATCTTTTTCCTTTTTACTTCAAAAACTTAGCTTTAATGGTTTAGATATATAGTGCCTGAAAATATGTTCGAATGGTCAGTATTATCTCAATGGTGTTTTGAGTTTTTTTCATATTTTTTCTCCCTTGGAGCATTACAGCCTGACTGCTGCTTTTTGGAGTTTGTAGTATGTTTATTTTTGGCCAATTTTTTTTATTTTTTTGTATAAGAATTATGTTTATAGTCATTGAAATTGTGTTCATACTAAAGGTACTTGTGTTGTTTTACAGGTTTCAAATGCATTTGTCTTGGAAGATTAATACTGAAGTTGGTTGGAGGGACTTAAAAAAGTCTAGAGTTGCTAATTAACTGTGTTATGGAAGTCATCATATCAAGAGGTAAGAAGCATGTGGAATAGGATGCATCCTCATCAAGTTTTTTGCCTTTTTTTTTTGGTTGGTAAAATGGATATGAATTTTATGTCGACACGACTCATTGGTTTAGAAATGGAAAGTTGCATGTGAAGAAAAACAGAGAATAGCAATAACCTCTCTGTAGATTACGAGAAGGGAGGCTTTCTTATTTTTCATTTATTTGGCATAGAAATTTGAGCATAAGAGGGTAAGAGAGAGAGAGAGAGAGAGGCTGAATAGCAAATGTATTTTATTTTCCTTTTTGAAATAATTATTTACTGAATCTTGCTAAACTAAGAATCTCATTTTAAAACTTTTACATGAATAGTCTGAGCAGCAGCATTATATCTATATGAAGTTCACAGTAATGTCAAGAGTTTATTGCCCTCTTTTCTCCCAATTATGAAGAGATTGCTTCAATTATTATTGAATTATGCATTTCTATAAATATTATTGCATTGTTGAATCATGTATGTTGTTGGAATAGTTTTAAAATATTAATAATTAATTATTACCAAATCAAAACAAATTATGACTTGTGTCCCAAATTGAAGTGATTATGTGACAGTCTTATGCTGTGTTTGGTTAGGGGATTTGGGGAGGGATTTGGAAAGGGAAATGGAAAAAGTAGGTGAAATGTGAATAAATCATGCCTATATTTCACATAGTTTCGCATATCTTTTCTCTTTCTCTTTTCAAATCCCTCTTCAAATTCCCTAACCAAACACAACATTAGAGTATTGTTTAACACCATTCATCATTTGACATTTGCCCAATTGTTTTTCAAAATATTAACAAAAAATATTAAATTTTATTGTTTTAATCAATGAATATCAAGTTGGTGCAGCACATAAATTTGCCTGGGATGGTGAGAGGCATTTTACTTCCTCGACTCATAATTTTACTAGTATTGTCACCTTCAATCAAAATCAGACATATGATGTGGCTTGTGTGGGATGAAATAATTATACAACAATGATAAAGACCATTAATTTTAGAGCTTTAAAAAGATCATTAATGACATGACACTCAATAAAAAAAAAAAATACAACATCAAGATCAAAACATCAAATTATTTCTAATGAGATTTACTACCACATCATTAGTTATAGTACTAATTAATACTCTCACTCATTTTTTGTAATTATAAAAGTAAAGAGTTTTTCTATGTTGCCTAGGTAATGCCTAGCTAATACTTTGGTATGATCCCCAAATTTATCTTACCTATTAGATTCAGATGAGGACAGAATTCAACCATTAATTAATAATGATTAAAATGGGCTTCAAATGATGGGGGTGATTTTAATAAAAAAGAAAGAAGAAGAAGCGAGAATTCAACCATTGATTACTAATGATTAAAATGGGCTCCAAATGATGAGGTGATTTAAAAAGAAAATAAAAAAAATTGGAATCAACCTATAATCAAATCTGATTTTAGTTGCATCCGTGGGATTTATTACAAATTTTATTTTGATAATATAAATTATTTATTATTTATGTAAATTATTTATAATAATAATAATAATAATAATAACAATAATGGATCCCATTAATGATAAATGTTTTTCTTATATATTTGTCATTTTTTTGTATATCATCTAGCTAATAAGATAAAAAAGAAGCGAGAGAACCAAAGATCATTCTATCTATAATTTTTATTTGTTTAGTGGTTTGTCTTAAAGAATTAAGGACCGTCCTAATTTTTTTTATTCATTTATTTTAATTTTGGCCTTTAGTTGATGCTTAAAACTTGGTTTATTTTGATGTAAAATATGTATTTTTAAATTTTTTAATATTTAGTTGAAAATCAAAACAAAGCTTCCACCTTTTAAAGATCAATGTACTAAAAAGATCAAGTTAAAAATAAGCTTTCTAAAATTTAATTTACAAAATTATTAATAATAAGTCATCTTTCAAACTATTTCTAAAATTATTTTTTCCGTCCAACCAAATTTAAAAAAAAAAGAATGTAAAATAACAGAGCTTATAATTATAAAATTACAACATTTTATTACTGTAAACATGCCAAAATGACCATCTTTATTAGAAAATAACCTAATGCTAAAGCTCATGCTACATATAGATACAGAAAATGTAAGCAATGCAAAAGAGCAACTTTTGCTTTGGAGTCAACTTGGGTAGGCAAACACGCTTTGAAGCTTCTCTCTCCTCTACTCTTTCTCTCTCTCTCTTTCTCTCTCTCTCTCTAACTCTCCATTAACAATGGCAGAAAGTGCAGTGACCTTCTTGCTCAAAAAGCTTTCAAGCTTGGTCGAAGAAGAGTTGAAATCATTGGGGGAAGTTCAGGCAGAAATTGTGTTCATCAGAGACGAGCTTCAGAGCATGAGTGCCTTCTTGAGAGTTGCTGATGCAATTGAAGACACTGATCCAGAGCTCCAAACTTGGGTTCACCAAGTCAGAGACCTCGCTTATCACACCGACAACATTCTCGATCAATTCACCGTTCGTTTCGCTCCTCATCACCATCGCCATGGATTCTTCTATGAATCTGTCTACAAAATTTATTATCAAATTAAGAGCTTCAAAGTTCGTCGTCAAATTGTTTTTGAGATAAAAGACATCAAAACCAGAGTCATCGATATTGCACAGAGGCGTCAGAGGTACAATTACAAATTCAGGACCTTAGAGCAAGGCTCGACCTCCAATGTGGCAAACAATGGAGGATGTTATGATCGAAGAGGTGATGCACTTTTGTTAGAAGAAGCTGAGCTTGTTGGCATCCAAAAACCCAAAAAACAACTCATTGATTGGGTCCTTGATGGTGATTATCCACTCAAAGTGATTTCAGTGGTGGGAATGGGGGGGTTAGGGAAAACTACCCTGATCAAGAAAGTTTATGAGGATGGGGAAGTGAAGAAACATTTCCAAAACCATGGTTGGATCACTGTTTCTCAATCATTTACGATTGAAGAGCTTCTAAAAGATTTGATTCAACAGCTCTTTGATGAAGTCAGGCAACCTCTCCCTCAAAGGTTGGAAACCATGGACAACAATAAGCTGAAAGCAGTGCTCAAAGAGTTTCTTCAAGAAAGCAGCTATCTGCTTGTTTTTGATGATATTTGGAGCATAGATGCATGGGATGCTATCAAAATTGCATTGCCAAACAGTAACTGTGGCAGCCGTGTGTTGCTCACAACGCGTATCGGTAATGTTGCTTCTACCTCTTGTAGAGAATCCCATGGTTATATCTATGAAATGAAAGCTTTGTCTCCAAAAGAGTCTTGGACTCTGTTTTGTAAGAAGACATTTCAGGAGCAGGATTGTCCTTCACATTTAATTGAACTTTCAAATAGTATTTTAAGAAGATGTGAGGGCTTGCCATTGGCAATTGTGGCTGTTGCTGGTGTGTTGGCATCAAAGGACCAAGGAAGGGTAGATGAGTGGGAACTGGTGAATCGCAACCTCGGTGCTGAAGTTGAAGGCAGTGATATGAAGAAAATACTGCTGCTAAGTTACAATGATTTGCCTTACTATTTGAAGTCTTGTCTCTTGTACTTGAGCATTTTCCCGAAGGATCATTTGATTGAATGGATGAGCTCAATTCGATTATGGATAGCAGAAGGATTTGTGGAAGTACAAGAAGGGAAGACACTAGAGGAAGTCGCTGAGGGTTACCTCTATGAGCTCCTAAATAGAAACTTGATTCAAGTAGCGAAAATCAAGTATGACAGGATTAAATGTTGCCGTATACATGACCTTTTGCGTGAAATTATTCTTTCAAAGTCAAAAGATCAGAACTTTCTAACGATTGCAAGAGAAGGAAGAGTGAGGTGTCCTGAAAAAGTTAGACGACTGTCAATCCATAATACTTTGCTAGAGATACCACAAGGCAAGTGTTTCTCTCAACTGCGTTCTTTACTCTTATTTGGGGTAGATGATCCCATGTCTGAGTCCTCCATGCATTTGTTGTTCAATGATGGGTTGAGTTTGTTAAAAGTTCTAGACTTCAGAAATATTTCTTTGGAGAGATTTCCAGGTGATGTGGTCAAATTGTTCCATCTAAGGTATCTAAGCTTGAGAGGAACAAAAGTGAAAGTGCTTCCAAACTCGATTGGATTGCTTTGGAACCTAGAGACATTAGATCTTAAAAACACGTATGTGAAGGAATTGCCCGTTGAAATTCTAAGGCTCCAAAAGTTGCGCCATCTTTTGCTATATCGTAATGAAATTGGGCATATTTATCTTCCATTTCACCACAAACATGGCTTTGAGGCACCATCTAAGATAGGAGGCCTACAATCCCTACAAAAGTTGTGCTTCTTAGAGGCAAACCATGTCAACGGTAGCGCCATCGTGAAAGAGATAGGAAGGCTCACCCAATTAAGGAGGTTGGGAATTTTGAAGTTGAGAAAAGAAGATGGAGTGGGTTTGTGCTCATCCATTGAGAAGCTAAGCAACCTTCGCTCATTAGATGTAAGTTCAATAGAACAGGATGAGATCCTTGATCTACAATCTCTGTCTCCAGCTCCTCAATTTCTTCAACGACTATACTTGAAAGGACGTTTAGAGAAGTTACCACAGTGGATAACTTCTCTTCATGGCCTCGGGAATGTATGTTTGTGGTGGAGCAAGTTAAGGGATGATCCGCTGAAATGCCTTCAAGATTTGCCCAATTTGGTTATTCTCTCTCTTGTTAATGAAGCATTTGAAGCGGAGGGATTGTGTTTCAAGGCTGGTAAATTTCAAAGACTCAAGCTTTTAGTCCTTGGAAGATTAAAAGGATTGAGATGGTTGACAATGGAGGAAGGTACAATGTCTCGACTTGAAGATCTATTCATCTGGAATTGTGAACTGTTGGAGGAGTTGCCTTATGGTATTAAACATCTATCCAAACTTAAATTACTTGAGCTGACCAACATGTCTGATAGATTAATTTCTATGCTGAATCGAGACATACAAGGTGGGGATTATTGTAAAATAGAACACATCCCTTATGTACGGATTGGAGACTCAAAAGATGGTCATTGGAAAGGAGGTTATCTCTAGAGAGAGTTTTTTTTTTTTTTTAATGTTTAATTGACTAGGTTGGATCATCATCACGTTTAGTGCTGTTTCTTTTTCATGTTCTTGTTAATTGATTTGGGGGCTTTGGGACTTTGGGGTGTTTTTGGTTGCTTTAGAGTCTATTGGGCAGATTCCAGTGAGTCATGAGCTTGGGTTGGTTTCACTTGTTGCAACAATGGGATCTCTGGAATTCAGGTCTTGAACCTGCAAAGCGCTAGGACTCAAAATGATAGAAGTTTCGATAGATGGTGATGCGATGCTATTGATGCAATGTTACACATTCAGGTTGTATAACTGTGTAGTGGTGTTTGGCAAATGTATGCATTAGTTTCAAAAACCATGTGGCAGTTGTGTTTTTTATTTTGGTTTAGCTCTGTACTTATTTAGATCTACTTAATAGATTATACCACGTGCAGGAGCTAGGTGTGCTTTCCCTCTTTGAAGGGTGTGTTTGGCTCCTACTGAGCTTTTATTGTATATATCTAATTTTTTGGTATAAAGCCTATGACTTACATACCCAAAAAAAAAAAAGAAGAAAAAAGACAAGCAATTCATTTCTTTATTATTTTCCTTTCTCTTTCAAATCCAAAATTCAAACATAATGTAAATGAAATTACTTTTACACCAGCAAGAGTTGGTAAACCTAAACAGGTTGTCTTCACTCCATGAGCATGGTAGTTGGGTCTGGAGCTCCCATTTCTTTTACTGATGGCATGGCTCAGCAAGCAAAGCAATTGGGTTGATCGGTAGAAATTTAGTTTGATTTGTATTTGGCTGCTTTGCGCTCTCTTGTCATTTTGCAAACAGCCTTGGGCGAAAGTGAAGGGATGACAAAAGCATGGGAAGACAAAACTTTGGCATGAAAACGATTATGCGCTTAAATCACTGAGCAGTTACACACTGCATTAATAATATCAATTGATACCAAGCATCTCAGACACTAGAGGAAGTCACAAAGTGAAGGGATGACAAAAGCACTGAAAAGTGTCATATACATGACCTTCTACGTGAAATTATTCTTTCGAAGTCAAGAGATAAGAACTTTCTAGCGATAACATGTGAAGGAAACGTGAGGTGGCCTGAAAAAGTTAGACGCCTCTTGTTTGGGGTATTTGATCCCCCGTCTGAATCCTCCATTCTCTATTGTTTAATGGTGGGCTGAGGTTTCTCGAAGTTTTAAATTTGAGAGGTGCTTCTTTGAAATTTCCAGAGGAAGTGGTGAAGTCATTCCATCTCAGGTATCTAAGCTTGAGAGGAACGCACAGAAAGTGTTTCCAAACTCAATTGGAAAGCTTCGAAACCTAGAGATGTTAGATCTTAAACATACGTTTGTGACGGAGTTGCCTGTTGAAATTCTAAGGCTCCAGCAATTGCGCTATCTTTTGTTATATTATATTGAAACTGGGCATTTTTATTACCATCCGTTTCATTGTGTTCATGGATTTAAGGCTCCATTTTTGAAACACCTACAGAAGTAGTGCTACATAGAGGCAAATGATGTCAACAGAAGCACTGTTGTGAAAGAGATAGCAAAGCTCACCCATCTGACGAGGTTACATTGTGAAGTTGAGAAGAAAAGATGGGGTGGCTCTATGCTCTTCAATTGAGAATTTGAGCAACGTTACAATCTCACGCTCCTTGTTTTCTTTGACACTTATTTCTAAGAGGACATTTGGGGAAATTTCCATATTGGATAACTTCCCTCTATAGCCTTTCCACAATAATTTTGCAGCGGAACAAGTTAAGGAATGATCCATTGCAATCCCTTCAGGATTTGCCCAATTTGGTTCATTTCACGCTTTTCCAAGATGCATATGAAAGGGAAGGATTGTGTTTCAAGGCTGGTAAGTTTCAAAGCCTAAGAATTTGAGACTCACTAAATAAGAAGTTTTGAGATGGGTGATGGTGGAGGAAGGCGCGATGCCTCGTCTTGAATATCTATTCATTGAGGATTGCAAATTGGTGAAGGAGTTGCTCTTTGGCATTAAATATCTATCCAACCTTATACATCTTGACTTGTCTGATTTGTCAGATGAATTGATTTCAAAGCTGAATCAAGCATACAAAGTGGGGACTACTCTACTCTCTGGATTGGAAACTCAAAAGATGATTATTGGAAAGAATATTATCCATAGAGAGAGATTGAGGACATTTTTTTTTCCCCTTCTTTTTCCTCTCTTGTTTTGTTGACCAATCATCATGATTAGTGCCCTTCTCTTTCCATGTTCTTGATATTTGAGTGTTTATTGTATTTCTCTCTGTGATTCAGAATTTTCATTTGGACCTCCTTTAGTTTTGTGATTTGTAGGATTCACAATGTTTTAAGCATTTTTACAGAGTAAATTCAAATTTCGTCAAAATCTATCCAAAACTAAAAATTCATAAATTATACTATTTGTGATGAAAAATTTTAAATTATTGCTATGTGAACTAATAAATTTGACAATCTTTTCCTTGCTAATGTTGCTCGTGTATCCCCTTTTTCATTATTATATGGTATATCACTTAGTAAAACAAATTAATTTTTTTTATTAATTTGTATAATATTGTCCAAAATATCAAGCTCTATTGGGAGGGCACTATGCTTTAAAACGGCAATGATTGGTGGCCACAAATTCTATGGCTCAAATGACTCGAAAATGTCAAAACGACGTCGTTTTGGATACAAAACAACTCTGAAAATGTCAAAATGACGTCGTTTTGACATTTTCGGGCCATTTGAACCATAGAATTTGTGACCACCAAGCATTTTTCGCTTTAAAATTGTAGAGCCGCTACGTTGCTCGAAATGTGATGGCTCGGGAGGCCCGAATTTAGTTTTCTACCCAACTTGCTGCTACTGTGCAATACACCCAGACATCTCATTTCAAAAAAAAAGGAAAGAAAAAGAAAAAGAAAGAATAGAACACACAGTAGAGAGAGAGAGGAGCCCCGTGTCTTCGTAAAACCTAGCGGAACTGTATCTGTGTGCTGCTATTGCTGCTGTTTGATCGGAGTAGAAGAGAAGGAGCTTTGTGTTTCGCTGCTTGATCGGAATCTTCACTGACTTAAGGGATTTTATTTCCCATTGTGTCATTGCTCTTCCATTGCTCTGTCCATTGTGGCTGCTATGGTTGCTAGCTACTGTTAAAACTAGTACTATCATCAAACTAATTAAGATGATTGTGAAAACTAGAGCTAACCCCCCCCCCAAAAATTTGAAAAAAAAAAAAAAAAAATTAGCACATTGAGCTGTGGCCACTGCGTAAGATTTCTCATCTGTCCATGACCATGATAGTCAATACTCTTACTTGAGGCTTTGTTCATATTCATTCTGTACTCGAGGCTTTGTGAACTGATTACAATTTTTTTTTTTCAAATGAAAACAACTTTTTTAGGAAACATCAAACAGTTAAGTGCTCAAATTTTCAGACACTTTTTTTGCACAAAAATTAAAATCATATGCAATCGAACTTTACATTATTTTGTTTTTGTAAAAAACAAAATAAAAATAAAAACACAATCAAACATTAATAAGCATATGTGGTTTTCAGAAAATGCAAACAGAGTTGCAGTTGCAAGTGGAACAATAGTTCTCACAATATCTATGTCCACACAAAACAAAGGGGTTCAAGAATTGTTTTTTTTTCTTCACAAGTTACCAGAGATGAGAGGGATGAGAGAGATCTGTGGAATGAGAGGGATGAGTACAGAGAGAGATGAGAGTGATCTGTGGAATGAGAGGGATGAGTAGAGAGAGAGGTGAGAGTGATGACAGTGTTTCTACTTTTTTTTGTTTCGAGAATATAGTAGAAGTTAGAAAATACAGATATGATACGATACGGATACAACGAAATTTAAAAAAGTAGAATATGAATATGAATAAGATACGTTTGTAAAAAATAAAAAATAAATAAATTATTAGCAGTGAGTTACATATAAGCTCAAAAATGTTAAGAAATCACAGTAACTTTATAATGCAAAATCCTAATCTTTAAGAATTATATATTAATTTAAACCAGTAGCTAGTTTAGTTTTTAAATTTTCAATAGGTCTTGTAAATATTTCATTTCAATATTAAGTCTAATATGTTGATATTATAATATCAAAACAATTTACAACTTGACCTTATGTTTTTTCCTTTTGCACTAGTCAAAAATATTCTATGTAAGTTTATTTGCTTATTTATTTATTGATATTTAATTTTACTATTGTTATATTATCTTATTAATCCTTATTTCTATGTAGTTATAGAGGACATGCATGATACAATAAAGATATGTCAATTTGATGAATTCTATTACTTTAGTTTATTATGTTATTTTTATAAAAAAACTAAGCAAAGTATTGTAAAAATATTCTATTTATCCTTACAATTATATTATATTATGATGTTATGTAAGAAATGATACAATTCTAATTTCGTAAAAGGAGTAATACGTGACATGGAGTATTTGATACTTTAAAATTAATTAAGAAGTATCCGATACATATCCGTAAGTATCCAAGGAGTATCGGTATCCGATATGGATACGTCTTCCTATTTGAAGTATCCGTGCTTCATAGAGTAGAAGAAAGGAGGAGAGAAAAGCCAAAGAGATAGAGAGGAGAGAGAAAACTAAGTACTTTTGAGCTAGTCGAACCCAAGACTTTCGAGCTACGGAGCTTTTTCCTTAAAATTGGATCGATATGTGTATTAATAAAAAAATCACTAAATAAACAAATTCCAAACACCTATTAACATTTGTTAGGAAATTCTATTTCCACACGCTTAATTATCTCAGTCCACACACTTAATGAAATATTATTTTAATGTCAATTATACCCCAAATTAAAATGACTATAATATCCACCAACACCCATAGTAAAAGGGGACATTTTTTTTTGCAGAGCTAAGGATTATGAACTAAAATCATGCAAGTGTGAAAGAAAATTGAAACAGAGCAACAAAAGGGGACATTTTTTTTTGAATCTGGTTTGATATTAAAACAAGAATGTAAGACCAATTGAATCCAAAAACAACACAACAAGCCATTACAGAGTTAGAAGCAAAAGAAACCCATAATGCAAGAAGTTAGATGTCATGCAAAATAATGATGCAAACCCATCAACTGAAACTCAACAATAAGTGACAATAAATCAGAAAAAGTGGTTCCTGAGAGAAGAACAAGAAGAATAAAGATGTCTGCTGGCTTGCCTGGCCACAATGGAGTCTGCAGCTTCAATTCCTCCGACCCCAGAAAGCAATTCATATGTTTTCAATCTCACAATCAAATCTCTCACCCATTAATTTGCCAACACGACCCAAA